TATCATAATACCGTTTTACAAAAGCTAACTTTGCCGTTCTCTTTCCATTTTCTTAATTTATTCCCTCAACTCCATACAATCATTGATTGTTGTTGTGTGGATATAGCCGCAGCGCAAAAGTCTATGCTGAGTGGAATGTTCAGCTTCATGAAGAAGACTAAGCGCATTCGGCACAATCCCGAGTCTGAGGGAATATATTTGTCGGAGTTGAACGTGGAGGATTTGGATCCAGAAGTAGCTGCGTTGTACTTTCCAACGTCTTACCACCGTCAGGGCTGCCCTGCCCCAGGTAACAATTATTCAATCTTGTATCCAACCAGACCAAGGCTTCCAGCCTGTGGAGTCATGTATCATGTACTTACATATTTTATATGTATTTACTTTGCTAACAGTAGATTGAATTTGAGGTGAATGTCAATTTATTTTTCTGTCTGCCAGACACACTTTTGCTTCTTGTACGCTTTTATACATACGCTTTTCTTTCTGTCAACCACCTGACCCCTCCTTTAGTGTTCTGACACTGGGCCCTTGATCTTTCTTATCCTTTGAAGAATGTAATGTGTTATGTACAGTAATGTATTATCCCTTGTGTGTGCTTGTGTGGTTGTACAAATTCCTATTCCATTATGAATAGTAGTTGTCGAACTTAAAGTGTAAACTGTTGTCTGCTTTTCTCACTTATTGTGTTTTCAATATGTACTTCATCTTTGCTCATTGAATCCTATTTTAAAAGAAGTTCAACATTGAAATTTTTTGTCTCTGGCTTCTTTAAATTGCATTTGACCTGATTTTGTTTATCTATTCATTTTTCAGGAGAATGCTCATCAATCCAGAGGGATGAAGATGCTGAATCTGGAAACGGACCATCCCTACCTCAGTCTCCTCACAGTGTAGAAGGTGCCATTGGGGGACCAAAGTCTGTTGATAGTGACTTTGAAGAACCAAAACATTCCTTTTTTGATAAGAAGTACGTATAGAATCTTCATACCGTTACAAATATTACTATTAATTCTTTGAAAGTTGATACATTTTATTGATTTATTTGTAATTTTACGCAGGCACTTTGGTGACATATCTATTTCTCTGTGTGGAAACCTGAACAATACTAGTGGTTCCATTGCAGAAAAGTTCTTACAGCATCTAGTAACATTTGAAGACTTTGTAAATAATCCCAAAATTCTGGAAGACCCTAATCTTGTTGTAAGACATGATGGTCAGTATTACAATTGGAAAGCTGCATCCCCTTTGATGGTATCACTGTTGGTCTTTCGGCGACCATTACCTCAAGTAGGTTATGATATGTAGTTTGCTTTATCTTAATCTGATCTTTACTCATTGTTTGCATACTCAAATTTAATCTTAAATTCTATCAGGACGTTCTCAAAACTTTGGCAACTGTGTACATGCCTGATAACAAGGCTAATGTAAACTCTCAAGGAAAACAAAATGACAATGTTGCTGGTGGGAGAGGATATTCATCATGGTTCTATTGGCGCCGAAATGATCCGAAGAAAATGGCATCTGATCCTGGGGTGGGCCTTACTAGCTCTCCCTATGAAAGTGATACAGCTATCAAAGCTGCCTCTGCTAGTACTATCCTAGAGATGCCTGATGACACATATCGTGAAGGTGAAAATTCTGAACGGTAAGAATTAGATTGAAATTTGATCAGATTTGAACCACACGTTCCTTTGTTTTGTCTCCTTTTATAGATAGAAAGATAGATACTCAAAATGAAATAATCTTTTTTTCTTCTGTTTGTGTGTTTTATTTTTGTGTTGTTTTTTAAATTTAACTGGTGCTTACTAACAATCAGCTTTGCTTTTCTTTCATAAGTGATGGACGTCCTTTGACTCTCAACATTCCTCCTGTTGGCACTGATCTGACTATGTCTCAGGACAGAAACATTGGTCAGGACCAAGGCTTGCATGGTCTGCCTAAAGAGTGAGTCATGCTCAAGTGTGTTTCATTGCATTGCCTAAATGATGTCCGTCTGTTGTATTTAATACTTATCTAATATCTACAGCTCTCTTCGTGAAGAAGGCTACAATGGATCCAACTCATCTGATTCCGATGATGCCCAAAGAAACAAAAGTGGAGTAAAGATCCCTGTTGAAAGAAGAAGTTACTATCAAGCTCCAGAAAAATATAGAAAGACATTAAGGTTGTCTTCAGAACAAATTGTAAGTGAAACAAGATTGTGCACAGGCAGGCGCGGTATAAGGGAGGGGGGTCTCTAGTGAGCCGCCTGAAAGGTAGGCAATTTGTGCCACAAAACCCCTGTAAATAGGCAACCTACAGTGCACCGCCCTCCCCTCCCCCTGTTAGCCGGCCCTTATACCGCGCCTGTGCACAGGGCATCTTGCTCTCTTCGAACATTTTTTAATTTTTTTATCATTTGCACAGGCACAACTGAACCTACAGGAAGGCACCAATGAAGTAGTTTTCAGTGTTACCACTGCTTATCAAGGAACAACGAGATGTAAATGTAACATCTATAAGTGGAAATATGATGATAAGATAGTGATTTCTGACATTGATGGTACTATTACCAAGTCAGACGTATTGGGCCACATTCTTCCTATTGTTGGGAAAGATTGGGCACAAAGTGGTGTAGCTCAGTTGTTCACCAAGATCCAGAACAATGGCTACCGACTCTTGTATCTATCAGCTCGAGCAATTGGTCAAGCAAGAGTCACTCGTGAATACCTACGCTCTATCAAACAGGATGACTTATCACTACCTGATGGACCTCTCTTGCTCAATCCCACAAGTCTAATGAGTGCTCTCCACAGGTATTGTACACTGCACATATCTACTAACAGTGTTTAAAAAATAGTCCGTCTTTTAATTTGTTTCATCTGTGATTTCAGAGAGGTTATTGAAAGGAAACCAGAGGAATTTAAAATATCCTGTCTAAGAGACATTCAGGCCCTATTTCCTAGTCATTGTAAACCATTTTATGCGGGCTATGGCAACAAAATTAATGTAAGTTAACAAAGTTGATAATGCTTCTAGTTTATACACAATCATATTTGAAGGAAACAAGTAACATATCTGATGTGTCTCTTCAGGATGTTTGGGCATATCGTGCAGTTGGTATTCCCATTTTCCGAATCTTCACTATTAACCATAGAGGCGAGCTGAAGCACGAGCTCACACAAACCTTCCAGTCATCGTAAGTTCCTATTTTTTCCTGTTTTCTTGAAACCTCTTGGGCATATTAAGATATGTCATATACATACTTCTTTAGCACTGTTTATGCATGTGTGTGGCATTACTTAAATGGTGTGCTTCATCTGTCTTCTCTTCTATTGGTGTGAATAATAATGAGTGATCCCTGGTTGCATGGTATCTGCAGTGAACAAAATATATTTAAATCAGAAGTTTCCTGAAGACTGGAATCATTTACTTTCACTGTCATCATTTTTTCAAAGTATCTCTGTGTTTACCCAAAACATTGCGTGTTGTTTTTGGTATGTGGTCGGTTTAATTTTAATGTCAAACCACATTGGAAACAAATAAGTTTTCAAATATCAAGTTCAAGAAATATTTTTCTTCCATCTTATTTTTAACTTTATTCAGTTTTTGCATTGCTACCTATGTTGTGTAGGAAAAACTAGCAAGGCAATAGAAAATTGTTACGTTACTAATATAGGTATTGTTCTTTGGTCTAGAAGATGTATGTGTGTTTCTGTTCACTCTTCTAGGTTGCTTGAATGCATGCTGTGTGTGTTTCTTGGTGTCTTTGTTATCTCTCTCTATATATAATTTCAATCTTTCCCTTCTGTAGTTGTATCTCCAGTGCAGTTGTTTTGTTGTGTAGAGGTGGTGTTGTCTGTAGTCTGAAAGTCTCATTTTTTTTTATTTCAGTTATTCTGGGCAGAGTTGTATAGTCAATGACCTCTTCCCCGTTATGACGCAATGAGGATGAAGGGCAATGTCCATCCCAACTTATACATTCTGTTAAAGTTGTTCTGTGTCTAGTAGTAAAATATTTTACACCAATTACAAAAACTGATAAATTTTCAGATTTTGACATCTTTTTCTAGTCAGTTAATTTTCATTCTTTTTGTCTGGCCTTGTAATGCAGTAATTGGTTGTAGATATATACATATTGTATAAGTGGTAAATTTTAGTTGGAATGGATTCATTGCATCACCATCGCAACTCATTTTTCCATGGTAAGCACATGGGTTTCAATGTGAGGCAATATTGGTGTGGTTGGTGTTGGTAACAATTCCCCACTTTTCTTCTAATTTTGTGCTTTATGCTGCTTAACATTAACTTTGGGTACAAACAGACAGTTTGTAAACCAAGCTTATCTGCCTTAAATGCAATGCCGAATGTGCCTATCCTTACGAGCTCTTGTAAGGTACACCTGATCTTGATCTTCTGATTTTCTGTCCCTGTCTCCTGCCTTGTTTGAACCACAATTACAGTATTTTGGATTAATCTGTTCCAAATACCCTTTCCCCATGTGCCCTAATTTAATCCCTTGTTTTGAAGTCTGACTAGAAAATAGTATTCTCTCTGCTTAATTAATAAAAAAGTCAAACCCTACTAGGAATGCAGGAAACTGTTTGTGTTTTTAATATAGTTGTAGGTAATGCTTTTGGCCCCCCTGTTCAATGCTATCATTGTCCTATGTTTTCAGGATAAAACTTTTGAAACTGATCATCCTGTTACTAGTACTATAGCCTAATTTTCCCCTATTGTCTGTCATTGCATTAATCAAGATTCTCATATTTAATTTTCCTATCTTACAGTTACCTGAACATGAGCTGTATAGTGGACCAGATGTTCCCTGCTCGATTGGAAGACACGTCTGAAGACTATACAAGTTTTATTTTCTGGCGAGAACCTGTCGATGAGGTCCATATAGATTTAGGTATTTCTTCAATAAGCTCTGTTTCAAATTCTTTGCCTGCTAAAAGTGGAGCTGTTGCTGAACAAGCCAGCAAAAAGAAGTGAATTTAATCATCTTCACTTTACATGCTGAATTGTAACTGTTTTCCATGTTGTGTTTTGTCATTTGACTGAAACTGCTTGTATAAGATTAGTATCTGCTCACCATGCATTGACAAACTATTCAAACTATTTTAAAATTGAGTAAGTGAGTTTTTCTTCTGGAAGTGTTGTGTAGAGGAATGTATTTGGCTGTTCCAGATATTTTATTATATGGGATTCAGACACTTGTTTTTCCTAGCAGTCATACCTGTAAAACTTTACTATCTCTAATTTATTTCTAATTAGCCTGAGTATTTCCCATGCCAAACTGTAAGAATTGGATTTATGAAGGATTTACTCTGCTCACTAGTTGAGTTACATCAGCCTTGGTGTAGATTTTAGAATATTTTAGGTAATTATTTTAAAACTATTTATGTGGATGACAATTTTACTGAATATGCTTCATGTAGCTAAAAGTTCTGGATATAGTTTGCTTTCTGACGGAAGCAGAGTATTAAAGGTTGGAAATCAATTTTTGTCTGTGAGTACTGAGTGTTGACTAAAGTGTTAACGTGTACCTTAAATCATATTAAGCGGATCTGTGATGATCGACAGACTGACCGGGAGGGAATTGTGGGTGTTATATTTATGTGGATGATAATTTTAAGAGCTCTCTTGTAGGTAATTAGAAATGAATATGTAATAAAGTTATCTACATTAGCATTTATAAAATCTGTGAATTGTTACCTTAGTGAGAAAAGTATGTTATGCCAATATAATCAATCCTCCCCTTTCCCTTTTCTACATTATAAATATAATCAATGTGAATTTGTATGTCAGATTAGTTCATGAGGCATTTTACAAGAAAAGAAAACCAAAAAGTTAGTGGCCAATTATTACTTTTTGTTTACTCTGTACCTCGTTAGACTTAATTTTCATGTACAATGTTTAGAGCTATTTCCAGCTTTTATAATTACCATATGAAGTGAGTGATAATAGGTTAATGTGTTGTGATAATGGGGATTAAGTGTTGCAGGACTTGCAGTTACTGTATTTGTATAAGCAATTACTTCAGGCGTAAAGCCCTTTTTTTTTTTT